CACTTGTGATAGAAATGAATGTCACTGCACACACAGACTAGTGAAAACACTTGCAGGTATAGATTATGTAGACAATTTGTTTCTAATTATTTGTGCAGTTATCCTTCACTAGCACTAGATTAAATCTTGCAAGACATTTGATCAATATCAAACACTGTGCTTAATACAGCGTTAAAGTGAATAAACAAAACTGTTGATATTGTGATGCTTTTTAAACTACTACAAATAGATAAATGGTAGCAGTTATTTTGATGGCACCTACCCAGAAGTAAATTTTTTTTTCAACTGTTCAAGTTCTCGTCTATGTGCTCGCTTTAATCGCTGGATTTCTTTTTCTCTATCTAGTTTCTCCTTTTCTTTTTCTGCCAGTAACTGTTTTTCCCGTTGTACCTTCTCTTCAAACAGTCTTTTCTTCACTCTCTCTTCAATTAATTCATTGATCCTAAGCGATAAGGAGGAATATAAGTTAACACCAGAATTCCACTACTATTTTTCAGAATAGCCCCCTCTAGAGTTAAATAATACAAATTCACCATATTTTGTTGACCAGGGCCCTCTATAGTTGAAAGCTACAAATTCATCTAGGAAGTTCTCCAGAAATGTTTCAACACGACAATGGTATTCTTATTCTATCCATGGCATACAGGAGGCCAAGAAATCAGAACTATCATGGTATTGTGATGTCATCAAAACACCAATTTATTACAATCTTTGATAATTTTCAGCAACTTGTATAAATTGTATGACTTTTCCACAGTTTTACAAATCTAATTTTTCCCCCCAATTCAGGTAAACCAAAATTCTGTAAATTAAAAAAACTTAATAGGGTAAAAAAAATATCATATTAAGTTTATAATTACCTTTCTTGGTCCTCCATTTCCTGTAGTTTATATTTTTCTAATTTAATTCTTTCGATTTCTTTGGTCCTTTGGATTTCAAATTCTTGTCTTTTTCTTTGAAGTTCAGATTCGGCTCTGTTTGTCTGTTCCTCAAGTTCATGTAATTTCTAAAATTAGAAAACTGCTTTAACAAGTATGTATGCATTTGCAACTTGTAATTTCCACAAATTAGTGCCGCAAAATATCATGTGACCTCCCTCAGTCATGTGACTTGACACTAACATGTAAGTTTCACTGCTGATATGAAATCGATTTAGAAAGACAATATATTGAATAAATAATATAGCAGTAGATCCAATTTTAACCTTTTCACAATCAGTTATCTCTTTTGTAGTCCAGTTTATAGTCTGCACTTTTCTTCAGAAGAGAGGAGACAAAAAAATAGTCAAATTGTTTTGAGTAAAAACCAAAAAGTGACTCAATTTTTGTCCATTGACTCCAAAATTAGAGTTTATTTCCAGAAATAATGAAAAGTATAATAAAAAAAAGTGCAGACAAATTTTGGTGCGAAAGTTTGTTGGTGAAAAGATTAATTAAATCACCTAATACTTTGACTTCTCACCCCTCCTACCTTGAATCTCTCCTCCAACTGATGAGACTCTTTGTCCTGAGCTCTCTGTCTGGATTCGTCATAGAGATTTGACATTTCTCTGAGGTCCTCTACAGTAGACACAGACACTGCTTTACGTTGAATCGATCTTGGTTCATTCCACTCACTTTCAGGCACCACCTGAATCTCCTCATGCTGTTGTTCAAGTTGTTTCTTTTTTTCCTCTATAATCACCATCTCTTTCTCTGTCTCTTCATCCAGCTGTACTTTCCGCCTGTCAATCTCAGCCAAGGCCATTTCAGTATTCATATCATGTTGCTTCTCCAAATCCACCAGTTGTAAACGTTCCTTTTCTAGTATTTTTTTATCCTCTATTGCCTTGGTAATAGTACTTTCATGTTTACCTTTCAGTTCCCTTAGCAATGCCTCATCCTCTTCTATTTTCATCCTTCTTGCATCTAAGTTTTTAATTTTCTCTGAAATTTCTTTTTGTATTGAGAGTAAATTTTCTGTTTCCATTTCATTAAGTGTTTCATTCTTTTCTTTCAACTGTCTTTGGTTTGTTTCTTTTTTCTCTTCCAGTGCCCTCAATTCCGAATTAATCGTTAAGCAATCTTGTTGTTCCTTTTCATTCAATTGCAGTTCCCTTAAATCTAACTTTTTTTTCTCCTCCTGCAGTGACTGCAACTCCATTTCAATATCTTTTTTCTCCTCGTCTGTCTCATACTCTCCTAATTCTAAAATTTGTTTCAGTAACACTTCCTTTTCACTTAGAGCATGGCGTTCATTTTCCAAATGATTTCTCTGTTTTTCCAGTTCTTGACCAAGCGCAATTCTTTTCTTTTTAATTTTTTCCTCCACATCTCTTATCTCCTGTATTTGCAATTGTTTCAGTTTCTCAATCTCTTTTCTAGCTTCTAAAAGTTTTTCACTGTCCTCTCTCAGTTTTAGCATCGCATCGGTCTCAATATCAAGTGCAATTTTGCGTGCCGTTTCTTGCTGTAGTTGTAATTCATCCAACTTTTTTCTTTCATCCTCAATCAATTCCAACTCTTTATCCCTTTCTTGTTGCAACACTTCCAGTCTCCTAGCAATTTCGTTCTCTGAATCCCTCGCACTTTCTTTTATCATACTCTCCTGCATTTCAAGTCTTTTAAACTCTTCATCAAGTTTCACTTTCTGTTGTCGTCTGTGCTCCTCAAGCTTCTGCTGTTCACTGATAATCGCTTGCCTCGCTTTTTCGGCTGCTTCTTTCTGAGACTGTTCAATCTCCATTAATCTTTCCATTTCTTGGCTGATCTTCAGCTTCATTTCATCTTTTTCATCTTGCAGTTTCTGCCGCTCTAAATCCCGTTCTTGTATAAAGTCCTCTCTTTCCTTCTCAATAGCAGACTTCTCATGTAGCCTTTCCTCTTCAAACTTCTCCTTTTCTTCCATGTAGTCTTCCATTTGTTTTTGATAATCCTCCATCTGCTTCAGAAAATCGGCACTTTGTCTTTTTAATCTTTCCTGCTCCTTGATGATCTTTCCTTGCTCAAGCTGTGCTTCTTTCTTGGCTTGTTCACTTTCCTGTCGCAGCCGTTCGAGCTGACTAATCTGGCCACGCAGTGCATCTTCTCGTAAACCCTGTTCCTTCAATCTAGCATCTTCAGCTTGTCTATGTTTATCCTCCAACACTTCAATATGCCGTCTGTGAACAAAAATCAAGGAAAAACATTTCACAACTAAAAAGGTCACTTGATTGGCATGTATTGGACAGAAAGTTCAAACTAAAATTCAAAAGGTCAAAATTTGCTATGATACATTACATACACTTGATAATTGTAAAGTTGTATTATTAAATATATTTTGTTTGTAGCATTCAATGTATGCGCCATGTAGTAGTATGCAAGAGTTCACAAGATATCTGGGTTAGAAGTTGTTAGGAAATCTATCAAATAGCATGTGAAACTGATGTCTTTTACTCACAATCACTCAATGCTCTAATGCGACCTACTCATTAAATCAAAATTTGATAAGAAGCAAATTGGGGGATTTGATTGATAAACACATCTATTCAAGTTGTTCTGTCCTTTAATTTTATATATTTATACATGTTATATCGGATTTGATAACAGTGTGTTCTAAACCAGGATTCAAAACAGTGTTGCATGTCAGGTTTTTAGTTAAAGATAAAAGATTAATCATTCAGGTTCTAACACGCATAAGTTGTGAATACTGTAACAATTGTTTTCAATTCATGGCTCATTTTACTACATACGTACATGAGACAACAAATTTGACAGATAATCCAGCTTTAAACATAACATAACATACTACAAAGCATAAACATAAATTCAGTACATAGAAATAATTATGATACCAAAGCATAGTGAGACTTACCTTTTTTCTTCCAGTCTTTCCCATTCAGCCCTTTGCAATTTTTCTAGTTCCATGCTGAAAAGCATCACAAAACTGATTTGAGTTTACATTAAAACTAATAACTTTAAAGCGGATACAGTTTCACGAACATGGGTGGGTTTTTAAAGTAGATGTGCACATGCAAGTTTTCATGCCAGAACACATTCTATCACCACTGTGATAGAACCTTTTTCACCACACACCCTGTGAATTTTTCAAAATGAAGTTCCAGACACATTATTTTATTATCTTGAGGCTTAAATAATTGCAAGTAAAGTAATTTTCTCTTATAGATGTATGACACCCCCTCCCCCTGCATAGAGTTTTTATTAAATACTGAAAAATTTTAAGTATATGTATAGAGAATGTTTTAATTCACAATTTTGACCAATAGATGTGTAAAAGTAATAAAATACTACTACACTCACATTAAATTCTACTTCAGACAAAATAAAATACTTTAATGCAAAACCTAAACACTTACAAATGTCTTGTTTGTATTCAGATCCCATTACTCAGCAAGGTAGGCTAGCCAGTTTAATTTGATCTCTGGACTGTAACAACTTAGTCTAAACATAAATGCCTCTTATCCAAAGATTTAATTTGAAGCACAAATACATGTTTTGAGACAAAGAGGCATTTCCGCTTAACTAATAAAACTGCATTAAATTTTCAGTCTTGTTGGTATTCAGTTTAGAAAGCTTTCTGTAGTAGTATTCTGTGAGTAGATTTAAACATTTTGTTGTTTTCTGTTCATTGAATAATATCTGCTAGAACACTGTGCTTTAGTTTGTAAGCAGATTGATATTTAATGCTCCTTCCCAGTGTGGATGCATTTTTCCTGCGAAATTTTGGTGCCACAATTTGTATTGAACTATTGAATAATTGGACCTTACCCTGGACTATTGAATACAGACAAGAGACTCTCAGTAGATCTGGCCAAGTCAGTCATGGATTTGGATTTCCGTTCCTTTCTGAGCCGAGCGGCCTCTACAGGATGGTTGAATCGAAACATTTGCGTCTTACCAAGAAGAACCACACAACCTGTGAATAAATATTAATAATATATAATTTCATAATCTGTATGTCTGCAAAGATTATTATTTCATAAACTTGTATTGTGAGTATAAACTTACAAATGACCTAATGCTATGATAGTGACAACAGCTCTGCAGGCAGCATTTCATAGACAGTAATATCAGAAAGCGGCAGTGAAACAAAAACTTTAACCACAAATTATAAAAATATTCACCATAAATGTCTAGAGCTCAATCCAAGGTATTAAAATATCCATATATGAGAGAAAAACAAACCGTCAAATGACTAGCTATTCTCTTCGAAGATAACAAAGCTAAAAAAAGATTTTTTATAATGCAAATTATTTCCTACATAGTATGGCGCGACTCGATACACTAGATGATATGCAATGTAATATGTCATATGATTTGGCACCACACTGGGCCTGGTGAATGGCGGAAAGGAACTTACCCTGTGTAAGAGGAGTTGGTTGACTTATCTGTTGACCATTGATGGAACATTCAGCTCTCGGTAGTGGTCTTAAAATCACTACTCCATTGTCATTCTCAAATATACAGTGTTCTTTTTCAATGTCAATAGCCCATAGTGCTGTTAAATGTATAATTAGCATTGATATAAATACACATGAATATGATACACTGTATACATGTTGAGTCTAGAAATATAATAAAACAATTATTCAGAACAAAACAATGTCTCAACATAATTTTAGCTGGAATAAATTTTTGATTACAACCCCACCCCACCCCCACCCCCCCCCACACACACACACAACTATTTTTCACTGATTGACCATATGGTGAAAATAAGAATTCCACAGTAGAGAAAAAACAAGTATCCTACAGTACGGCAAAAATAAGTATTTTACAGTACGGCAAGAATAGGTATTTTAAAGTATGTCAAAAATAAGTATTCTACAGTATGGCAAGAATAGGTATTCTACAGTACGGCAAAAATAAGTATCTACAGTACGGCAAAAATAAGTATTCTACAGTACGGCAAGAATAGGTATTCTACAGCACGGCAAAAATAAGTATTCTACAGTACGGCAAAAATAAGTATTCTACAGTACGGCAAGAATAGGTATTCTACAGTACGGCAAGAATAGGTATTCTACAGTACGGCAAAAATAAGTATTCTACAGTCTGGCAAAAATAAGTATTCTACAGTATGGCAAAAATAAGTATTCTACAGTACGGCAAAAATAAGCATTCTACAGTAGGGCAAAAATAAGCATTCTACAGTAGGGCAAAAATCGGTATTTTACAGTATGTCAAAAATAAGTATTCTACAGTATAGCAAAAATAAGCATTCTACAGTACGGCACAAATAAGCATTCTACAATACGACAAAAATAGGTATTTTACAGTATGTCAAAAATAAGTATTCTACAGTACGGCAAAAGTAAGTATTTTGCAGTTTGTCAAAAATAAGTATCCTATAGTACGACAAAAATAGGTATTCTACAGCACGGCAAAAATAAGTGTTCTACAGTATGTCAAAAAAAAGTATTCTGCAGTACGGCAAAAATAAGCATTCTACAGTACAGCAAAAATAAGCATTCTATAGTACGGCAAAAATAAGTATTCTACAGTACGGCAAAAATAAGTATTCTACAGCACGGCAAAAATAAGTATTCTACAGTACGACAAAAATAAGTATTCTACAGTCTGGCAAAAATAGATATTTTACAGTATGTCAAAAATAAGTATTCTACAGTACGCCATAACAAGTATTCTACAGTACGCCATAACAAGTATTCTACAGTACGGCAAAAATAGGTATTTTACAGTATGGCAAAAATAAGTATTGAACAGTATGGCAAAAATAAGTATTCTACAGTACGGCAAAAATAAGTATTCTACATTATGGCAAAAATCGGTTCTTTACAGTATGTCAAAAATAAGTATTCTACAGTATGGCAAAAATAAGTATTTTACAGTATGTCAAAATAAGTATTCTACAGTACGACAAAAATATTCTACAAACCAGTGAGAATAAGTATTTAGGAGCCTGGGCACTTGAGTTGATTCCTGTATAGCCATTGTGTTCATAGGATTATTACTTTACTTGTGTTATCACAGCATGTGATCCAATTAGGTATTTCTCTTAGGTTAGTTGTTTTAGGCATGCACTCATAGCAAAATTTGAACAGCAATGCATGATGGGAATTGTTGCAGTAAAGACAGCAAATAACCAATAGATGATTTTGATTTTTGACCAAGTTTCTCCTGATTGAAAGGGCTTTTAGCTTCTAACCAATGAATGTATTACCAAATGCATCTACATGTAATTTGATAAATGTTTTTTTTTTTTTTGAATAAGCAGAAATTACATTTACCCATGTCTGGTTTCTGTTCGGCATCATCACGTCCCACGGTGGTCAATCCTTCCTGTAACAACAAGGATGTTAGGTACGTTGTGAAAATGTAAAGCAATTTTGTAAAAATGTAAAGATATTTTGCAAAACATTTCCGGAAATACCGATATATACAGGAAATGGGTAGAAACCAAACCTGACAATTTTGAATGAAATCGACTCAGGCACTTTAGAAAAAGTTGACAGCATAGTGTTTTTTGGAACAAAAACAGCAAAGATCAATAAAACAAATCTGTGTACATATACGCATACTACCATATTATATCTTTTCATTGTACACACTTTGAACATATATTAATACTTACCTTGAGGTGGTACAACTTCATTCCTGTACTCAGTAAATCTTCAGTAGTAATTCCAATCAGATGTGGCAGTTCTGAATCCAAGACAACACCTAAACCTTCCCTTCGCAGAGCTAATGTGGACTCCTATAGTAATAACACCAATGAGTTAAATAGACATACAATACAATGCTAAATAGACTTTTGCGTGTAATGAACTAAGTAATGAACTCTAGTGACAAAACATTGCTGTGCTGTTAAAAATTACACAGATGTGCGAAAACATGGTCATTCATATAAACAACTTGACTTGCATAATAAACATTTAGGTGAAAAGAAAAATTGTCAAAAAGAGTAATTGGAGTGTTGAATAAGTACACCTCAGAACTGTTAACAACCTTCCTTTTGTTCATTTCCATCATTACTTGCATTACTTAGACAGGGATTTTGTTTTTTCAAAAAATTTTTGACTGCAATTGTTGTTTCTCTTGACATGCTCTATGTGCTTCGTAGATTACATCATATACATTTTACCTTCATAATCTTTTTTGTCTCTCTCCATTTGTGTTCCCATTCTTCTGTTAAAACTTTCACCTAAAATTGAAAAAAATTGGTTTAAAAAATCACATCAAATACAAGTAAACTTTTATGATTTTCTTAATATGACATGTATCAATGTATTCAAATTAAATGTCAATCACGATACTAGGATATAACATCAAACGAGGGTTGTCACTGAATGATATCGTTTTATGAATTATGTAAATTTATACTCAGAATCTTGTGTTTAATAATGAAATAATAAATACACATAAAATTATTTTAAAATCAGTGTGGTCTTATCTTAACGTTACAATGAGGCAAGCTGCAGATGTTGTCATTCTGAATTTTAATCATTATACAAACTTTAAAATGCAAAGAAAGCATTTTCCTAAGGTTTTTTTCCCCCAGATTTACATACAGTGTATATGTAAATATTTTGTGTTTTTGTATTTAAATAACCTACCCTGGCAATACCTTACAGCACTCACTTGGAGTGGTTATAATTAATTTCAGAATACATGTCAAATAAATATTAAACATAAGAAGTTTGATTTATGCATTGTGTCAATTTTAGAAAGTTCACGTTTGAATCCTTTGAAAATGTATTCAGAATATTTTAATAAATAAATTTTTAGATTGATTACAATATAGTACAATATGTATGTATATAATGCATAGTTGAGCTGCAATAAAAAAGAATGTTTTTATTAGTTCATCCCTGATGGCGCTGTTGTGGAGATAAAAGTAAGGTGTTAGTCTGGTCACTGACATCCACTGTAAGACACTGCTTTGGTTTGACTGCAGACATTCTTTTAACCTTTTCACCAGCAGACTTTCTCGCCCAGATTTTTCTGCACTTTTTTCTTATATTTTTCAATATTTCCGGAAATGAACCCTAATTTTGAAGCCAACAGATTTGAGTATATTTTCGTGTTTTTTTCTCAAAAAATTAGTTTTTTTTTGCCCAATCTTCTGAAAGAAAGTGCAGACTATAAACAGGACTTTTTTTGTGAATTTGGAATGAAAAGAGGGAACTGGTGGTGAAAAGGATAAGATTGGTTATTTTTGGCAAGTTCCACAAACTCAATATTTTCTTTTTGGATATGAAAAATCAATTTATGCTTGAAGCGCTTTCAACTTCATTTTATTGATGTAACATGACTATGGCTTTGTTCATAATTTTGATTCTCACCCAGCTTGAAAAAAACCCCATATGGCAAATTTAAACAACACTCACCCTTGCTTCATTTTCGTGCAGTCTATCAACCATTTCTGCTTCTCGTCTCGGTGACTTGGCAGATGCCTATCAAAGAATGACAAATGGTTATAATCAGAAAGAAGGAACATCAATTTTTATGAAGATTGACAAAACAAATTCCTAATAAATTATGTCTAATACAAGTACAACACTAAATATAGAGACAATGGGACATAACAATAGACATGTTTCACAGTACCTACACAGACAGAATTAAAATTCTTACCAGATCACCAGCTAACATGGCTCTCAGCTTGGAGATTTCTGATCTCAAGTCTCGAATTAATTTAACATTTGGATCCTGTAATTTGAAGAAGAAAAAATATGAAGAACTCCTCATCCATCTACCATTGACAAATCACAATGTACAAACACAATTTCTGTATTGTAAACAATCATTATATCACAAAAATACAATGAAAATATTTTTTATTTTAAAAAACAGCTCTAAACAATGAGTTTTTATAAAGTTGGAATTATGATTCAAATGATATGTATTAATGTAACACTACATATTAGATATTGGTAGAGTCAATTAAAGGATGGTAGAATTAATATCAATGTGAAACATTTTCATTACCCATGGAATATTAATAACTTGATTTGAAAATTATTGTGTATTGTAGCAAGAAACCATACCTCATTGACTGTCGGTTTGTTGATGATATTCTTGGCCCGATTGGCATACCGTAATGTGCTCAAACTTTCACCGTAGTTGACGTCAGCCGGGGAGACAGCTATGAAATAAACAATATCAGATTGAAAACTATAGAATACGAACACATAGGTGGGTGTTCATAGTGGAGGGGGTCGCTGTCATTGTGTCAAGGGAGTGATTTGACCATGGTGGAGGGGTAACTTGCACCCAAGTCTACATTTGAGGGCAAATTTGGTAAATTTTAATTGACAGCATATGTGAGATGATGCTTATCCCTGTATAAATAATTCAACAAGACATGTCATGAATTACACAATAATTTTCAACTTACTTGCAATCATAATAGTCTTTGAGTTGCCACCGATACTGTCCTTTAGTAACCACGTTAATACGGAATCTCGGTATGGAACGAATGTATGTTTTTTCTTGCCAGGCGTATGTGATGATGCTTCGGCTGCAAATAAACAACACAAAATTGTTATTAAAATATTCAATTATTAAGACAATCAGTAGATTTGAATGAATACAAAATATTTAGATAAACCATAACAACTAAGACCAGTTTGGTAACTTACTAACATCAAATTTAACTCACCAAGCGTTGATATAACAGTACCCAATGTTACCAGAGATTTGTTTATATTTGCTCCTTCTTTTAACCTTTGACCTGTGGCACCAGTTGCATCTGCTCGCTCACTGTAACAATAGGAATACACTATGAATAAATTAGTTTGGAACTGGATAGCATGCTTAGTTCAGTTTGTTGCCACTGAGGGCGCCCTCACAGAAAAAAAAAGAAGCAAATGGTGGTACATTACCTTCCAGCTAAATCAACAAGATGTATTTTACTCATCGTTTCACTGGGCATATCATTGTAGAATTTAGCCTACAGAACAGATAAAGCAAAGAGAAATGTCAATAACACTTTCACATCACATGAAACATCTTTTAATTATTTCTAGTTGCACTGCATAACATACCAACCTACTGTAACATAATGTATTTTAGCAGGTGTTTTGTATGGAATTTATTTTCACTGATTTTTGAAGAGTGTAAAATATAGGAAAAAAGGTATATTCGCTGGATTTTATTTTCACTGAATTATTCCTACAGCGAAAATAGCGAAAATTATTAAGTATTTTACAGTATGTGTAGTATAAAAATGGAAATTACATTGTAATTTACGGAGGCAGCAATTTATAATTAAACCAATCAGTACACGGCATTATAGACTGAATAAGATTATTTTTAATCAATGAATTAATGCTAAGTGTTATGTTTGTATATGCACAATTTAATAATGATCATGTAGTGAGTGTTTGTATAGGGTTGTTAGTCTGCAAGGACATTATACAAAGATATCTATAATTAGATTCATGACACAAGTAATTAGAGTGAATTACCAATGCTCACCTGTGTAAAACTAATAGTGAATATTGCATGTGATCGGCTACTCGTGTCATTCATGTGAGTGGACGCTGTGGTCCTGAAATAAACAATATACTTGTGAAGACCTCTACGTTTGAGAACAATTGATTGGAGATAGCAGGTATGATTTATGTTAAACTCAAACTGATTATGTAAAGAAAACCAGGTAAAGAATGTTCCATGATGATATGAGGGGAAAAATGTAAAATTATAATTTGGCAAGTGAGAGTTTCAGAAATGTAAAAACATGTAAATGATTTGAAGTAGTATAATGTTTTTGTACTATTGTTAAAATTAGGAAATTTATTGCTAAATTCAAAATATAGTTTCTTCCTTTCTTCTCTGTTAGTGACACAAGACATTAGGAAGTGAATGACATCCTCCAAAAAGTTGCATTTTTGCAGTTTTTCTTCAATCAATCAGTGTCTTGTCTTCTGTGTCTACCCAATTCTATATATTTCAAATTTGTGACTACTAAGTCTAAGTTGAGACAATATATGTAATCAGAGGTACATTACTTGGGGTTTGCAACTCGCATAGTACTGTATGGTGACATCATGTCAAGATCCCATTCAAGTCTCATCTCGTAGATAGCGAGACTGAGGCTACAACCTTTTGACATGACACATATCAATGTTCAAGGTTTGTAATGAAAAAATAAAACTTTTCTTGTCACTATCATAGTGAAAAATGTAATACATCGAAAATGTACAGAAAATATAGTTCTCGTAATCCGTCATATCGTGGGCAGCTATCTTGTTCCACCTGGACATCGCAGTATCCTAGTTACCTTGGGCATGTGCATTCGCATTTTTCTGAGTTGGAACGCTTATGCGTGTGCGAGATTGTAATCTTGGTATCATGTCACCGTAGTTGCAAACCCCAAGTAATGTATCTCTGATGTAATACAATAATTTAATTTTATACACGTCATAAAAAGATTGGGGAATAGAAAGGAATTGAAATGCTGAACAAGCACTTCAAATACAGTTCTACTATTTATTATTATGCCAATGATTTCCATTGCTGTTGTTCACAGATAAACACTATTATTTTCAAAAATTCTAAATGAAAAACTGATTAGAAAATAAACGTCCAGTTTGTAACAATTGCAGTTCATTGATCTATAATAAAACTTTCTACCACAGAATGTTAGCAATTAGCAGTCGATTTTTATTTTCTATTGTTATGTTAGAATTATAATTATAAGTAATAAATGGTTAAAAATCACCATGGCAACAGCTCAACCTCTGCATTAACAGTAAAGTGAATTCATTTCAGTCATTAAACCGGAAAACATGAAGACAGATTATAATAAATTGTATATTATTTAACTGAGTACATATAAGAGATATATGTGATATTCAATTCTTACCTGTTTATATTACCTCGTTCTATTAATGTTTCAACGTCATGGTAATCTGATACTAAATGTCTAGATAAACCTAGAAATAAAGTTGGATCACAAACAGGTTATAGGCTTCTCAAGCAATGTGATCAGCTAAAAACAGCTCTGACACAGCCTGGTTGAGACATCACCTGATAATTGATTGCACACCAGTGATGCATTGTGTGTAAAGTGATGTTTAATCAAGCATAAATCTCACTTTATTCTGTGATTAGTATTAACACTTACTTTGTACATATGGTCCATTTCTTGGATGTTCTCTGACTCGTAATGAGTGTTGTAATGTTGATTTCAGTAAGTCACGAACTTTCTCATTGTAGATTTCAAGATAACTAATTTTGAAAAGACAAAAAATATTAAAGAGAATAGTAATTGGAAAAGTTGTTATCAAAAGTTACCTGCAATAACCCTACATAGTGCAATTGATGATATTTTCACTATCAATGAAACAAACAGATGAAAATGGATTCAAATCACTTTCAACCCTGTGTAACGTGATAGAAGTACATGTATGCTATGTAGAAAATAACATGCAAACTGATTAATAGTAAAGTCTACAAATTTTACATATAGACTCATGTTCTTATCACATGACCATGGTGCATATCATTCACAATACTGATGTCTGGTGTGAATTATTATTAACTGATACTCCCATATGAGAATTTTTTGTAATATTTGTAATGTTATTGATAATCGTTGGCATAGTAACTGCGATTACATGTCATCCAGCATAATTAGCTGTCATGCATTATAAGCATATTATTCATTTTCTTTGTCTTTTCGGTACTCAGGATTGATAAATAGGTCATCGCCAGATAGAGCTGGTCATTACATTCTGTATTATACAGACATCATCGATTCGAGAATGATACTAGCCAATTACACCACACAAGCTCTATGAACAAGTGATATCAGGTGATAACCTCAGAGTATTTTCACTGAAGGTGAATGAGACATACATCACAGTTGATCTCCGTACCTGACTTCAGTTCTGTAGGAATTACTCACACTCAGGTCTCCTTCAATATGATTAAAAAGACCCTGTAAGAAACAAAAACAAAACAATAAAATATCTGAGGTAACATGCATTAATTTTAATATATTGTCAGAAAAAAATGTGTTAATAATAATAATCATTAAAAAACAATGTCTTTATAATTTGTTTCTCAAAGTGTGTGATTCCATTGACGCTGCAGGTCGGCGTCTTCTACACTGATCTGATGCATATCGCGCAAGGTGTGCCGGGAGTTTGTTCGAAACTTTGAATGTTTCGAAGTCAGTCTTCTGTTAGCACATATTTTACGGACATATGAAATCGTTTCATGGGCCTGTTTACTAAATAATAATAAATGAAACTTAGAAAACTTGAAAGAACAAATTGGGCCAAAATTGCGCAAATTTGCAATAAGCTTATGCTTCTAGTGTCTGGTTCAGAAGACGTTCTATGCGTGATTTATCGAGTTCAAAGAAAGTTCTATTTTCGAACTAGTTGAAACCGGAAATTATGCAAGTACTTTTGAACTTCAAACACAAATTTGATTATCGTTATTATGTGTTAGTTTCTGTTGTTTCGAAGATTGAATTATTTATGACATTAATATTTCACTTACTAAACAATATTTCACTAAAATATGTGTTTAAAAAGCAACTTAAACTGTGAAAAGCAATATCAAGTTCCATGTATAAACACTGATGTAAAGAGGCGGCGGAGCGGTATTTTAGCAAAAATCAGCTAGTAAGGCGTCATATGACACAGGTCTGTGCTGGAACAGCGCTTCCTGTGACGACAACGGTGTGATTCTACTAGAAACAATGAAATATCCTACCTCACATATCCTTGGAATTAGTCCAATAGAATCCTGAAATTATGAATATTATGAATATTACTAATTTACTAAGTATGGTAAAAATAATAC